CCTGGTTCTGTCCTTTGTGTTTTGTCTTGGTGTTTTGTTTTTTGGGTTCATTTTTTTTTCTTTTATTTGCATTTTGTGTCTTGGGGTCCTAGTCTTGAGTTTTTTGTCATGGCAGCTGGCAGGGTCGATGGGTCTTTGAAGGCAGTGCTTGCGTGATATTTTTGAGGATTATGGGTTGGGCCCATAGTAGGTATGGTTGTCCCTTCCCAATTATAAGGTTACGTTGGTAAGGTTGTAGTTAATGGGCTCTATCTGGGACTACGTAGCTGTAGAATTGTCCCCAAGGTGGTGTAGTAGCGATTAGCAGTGCCTTCGAAGACCTTGGACCCGGTTGAGATCATTAATGTCAGTTAATACATTGATTGTACTTGCTGCATTGTTATGTAATAGTTATGTTAAATAAATGGGCTGCTATGGCTGTTTTGACATCAAAGAAGGAGAGTCATGTGGTTATTTCAGGTGGGGGAAGGTTGAGGGGTGGTTGTTTTATTAGTTGGCTGGTAAGTATTAGCCTCAATATTCTACATGTCCCTCAGTCATGTATTTGTAAATGTGTGCTAACTAAACCCCTGTTTTTAACGCATACTGCTAGACAGGTTAATTTGTTTGTTTGTTTGTTTGTTTGTTTGTTTGTTTGTTTGTTTGTTTGCTGGCTGGCAGGTTAGAGTTTCGAATTTTTCTTTTTTTTTTTGTTGCTTGACCTGGATTAACTTTACCTATAAATGTTAGTAACCAGTTTTTATATACAGTTTGTGACCAAAATTATTCAACCCCCACTGAAATTGAGTGTTTTGGCCAGTTTGACATTGGATCATTCAGTCATTTGCTTACATTTACATTAAAGAGGCACTTGTAGGTCAGTACAAATAATATAACATAACAGTTTATAATGAAATAACCACAAATGTCTTTTCTGTGCTCACAGCATTATTTTTTATTCAACCCCCAAGTTACATTCAATCTTAGTACTTAGTACAGTCCTTTTTGGACAGTTATAACAGCTTTTAAACGTGAAGCAGACACAAGTGTTCCTTGCAGCGATCTACCGGGTATCTTCGCCCATTCTTCATGGGCAAAGGCCTCCAGTTCAGTCACATTCAGTTAGGCTTTGCGCACTGCATTGCTTTCTGATTAAGTCCCACCAGAGGTTTTCAATCATTTTAATAGAAGTCTGGTGACTGCGATGGCCACTCAAGTGACACTTAGTACATCCAAAATGTTTACAGCCTTTCCTCTGCAACCATGCTCTAGTGGACTTGGAGGTATGCTTGGGATCATTGTCCGTTGAAACAGGTCCAAACGTCTCCCCCAAGCCTCAGGTGGTGTGACGGACTGCATCAAATATCAGGAGTCCTTGACTGAAAGAGAATATGTTACCTGAGGACATGCACACACGCTGAAGCTTCCCTTGTACCTGCAGAAGCAAAACAGCCCCAAAGCATGATTGACCCTCCACCATGCTTCACAGTAGGCAAGGTGTTTCTTTTCAATCATAGGCCTTGTTCTTCACTCCTCCAAAACATAGCGTTGATCCATGGCCCAAACAGTTCTAATTTTGTTGTTTCATCAGTCCACAGAACACTATCCCACAACTTTTGTGGTTTGTCCACATGGCTTTGGCATACAAGTCGACTCTCTTATTCTTTGGAGACAGCAAGGGGTACGCCTGGGGAGTTCTGGCACGGAGGCCTTCATTACGCAGTGTGCGTCCTTATGTCTGGGCTGAAACTTCTGTACCCACATCTGACAAATCTTTTCTCAGTTCCTCAGCAGTCACACGGGGACTTTAAATCCACTCTACGCTTCAGGTAGCGCACAGCAGTCGAAGTCAGCATCTTCTTTCTGCCACGACCAGGTAGCGTTTCAACAGTGCCCTTTGCCTTGAATTTGCGAATGATGCTTCCTAAGGTGTCTCTTGGTATGTTTAACATCTTTGCAATCTTCTTATAGCCATTGCCCTTCCTGTGAAGAGAAATCACCTCTTCTCTGTCTTCCTGGACCATTCTCTTGCCTTCACCATGTTTGTAACCACACCATAAATGTCTAGAAGGAGCTGAGTATCACAGTCATTTTAAAGCTGCCTAATGGTGCTTATTATGCTTGATTGCTGCTCGGTGACATCCACAGGTGTTTTTTGTCAATACCTGATGGAAAGCACCTGTAATGAACCTCTGTTCTTCAGAGTGGTAGTCTTTAAGGGGTTGAATAAATTGTGGCCAATGAAGAAACCACATAAGAACCATTTACTACTGTATTACATAAACAATTGATGTCATTTAGTTTGCATTTGGTAGTTACAACGTCCTGTAGGATTTGATTCTGAATACAATTCCAAATGTACACTATAGTCCCTAAACCCTTTACAGCATTGGGGGTTGAATAATTTTGGTCACAACTGTAGTTATGTTGTATGGGTCTCATTCAGAGTCCGCCAGAAGCAGCTGCAGACTACTTGTCATGTGTGATTTACTAACTCATTAAGTGGTCACATGTGTTCACAGGGCGACAGACAATGAAATCCGATGACTACGGCACACTTCACTGCACCTGGCTGAACCCTGAATAATTACCAATTAAATGTATCCATTGCTTATCTCTGATACAGGTACTGATAGAAAATTTTTCATAGATACAACCAATATTCTAGCACAGCTAAACCCTAATGGGATGACATCAGGGGCTCTTTCACACATCTGAATTAGGATCGCTCTTCAAAGAGCATCTGGTATTATGGAAGTGAGGAGGTACAGGCAGTGCCTAAGCAGGCGAAGGTGCATTTGCTGCCCCCCACTAACCCGAATGTCCTCCCACTATTTTCCAGCACTGTCTACAGCCGTGCTGGTACCATCCTTCATGTTGCTGCAACCCATAATGTGATGGGGCGCAGTGTGAAGGACATCACACAGTACTGAAAACTGAAATAATCTGAACTGCCACTAAAAGGCAGTGTATAATGAGGAGCGGGGTTATGCATTCCCTGCGTCCCCTCACTATCTGTGAGCAGCTGGCAGGTGAGGCTAGCTTAAACTTCCATGCTGAGCCCAGTAGGAACAGCGTTAGGAAATGGAAGAAAAGTATTTTAAAAAAGCAAGTGGCTGGGGATTCAGATTTTACCGCCCCTCCGCCCATCGTGGTGCCTTAAGGCGGCTTCCTAAGCAGCCTTATGCTGGCACCAGCCGTTGATACTCTCCGTCCCAATATAAAGCCCAGAGGATACCCTCCATCCAAATATACATACCCTATAGTATATACCACCTACCACCAAACCACACCATATATGTACCCCAGTGCATGCCTTTCTGATCGCATCCCCCCCCCCCCCAGATACCCCACTCTAATCACACCTCCCCAGATAACCCCACCCTGATCATACCCGCAGGTATCCCCCTTCCCACACTCTGATCACACCCCTAGATATCCTCCTACTCTAATCACCCCCCCAGATAATCCCACCCTGATCACACCCCCCAGATCCCCCTCCAATCTGCCCCCCCAAGATTCCTCACCTTTGATCACACACCCCCAATACGACCCTCTCCCAACACACACACACATTAGGTTTACTATACGTACCCTATAGTACAGGCCTTGAAATTTCCACTCGCCAGCTTGCGTTGGCGAGTGGAAATTATGGTGGGGGCGACTGTGTCCCCAGGGCTGTCTTGCTGAGCAGGCTCAGAACTCAGAGCCGGATCTGTCACTTGCACTGGGAGCCGTCAGACTGCTCCATAGTTTCAGCAAAGTGAAAGCAAAGGAAGGAGTGTGTGCTGTGCTCTCTGCCTCCCCCTAGAGTGCAGTAACCCGGCTCTGTGAGTGAAGGTAACGAACTACTGCAACTTTTTATGGGGGGGGGGGTGTGTGTGTGTGTGTGTGTGTGTGTCAGCCAGACCTGACCTCCTCCACCAGCACCCCCTGGCCTGACCTACCCCCCACAAAGCTGGGTGCACACCACTAAACAGCAAGCAAACTAAAACTTCTACACTGCGGCCAGTAGAAGAGAGGGAGAAGCATGGAAGCTGTAGTTTTGCCTGCTGGTGGGAAAGGAATTTTACCACCCCCCTCATGCTGGCAACATAAGACGACTGCCTAAGCTGCTCTTTGCTGGCACTGGTCCTGAGAAGGCGTTGTATCACGTCCTCACCACCTGCTTTAACTGCTGCTACAGGGCGGCACAGGTGCACAAAAACACGTATATATACGTGATTTTTTTGAAGTTCCGGGTAGGGGGAGTGTACACTCCCTATCAGCGCCACCATTCGCGGCCTTGGCTGTCAATCATCGAGTCCCGGCCGGTGATTCACTGAGGATTTCCGACGGGGGGACAGAGCTGTATGTAAACAATACAGATCTCTCTCCTGTCAGCTCCTGCACACGGCTTTGTATGGCTCTGCATAGCACAGCCATACAAAGCCGTGTGCTTACAGTGAAGTACCCCCCCCCCTCCCGCCCGCCCCATAGTAAAACAGCACACAGGTAACCCTTTGATCACCCCACATGTTAAACCCTTCCTGCCCAGTGCCTTTAGTACAGTGTCAGTGTTTTTATTAGCACTGATCACTGTATTGGTGTCACTGGGGATGTCAGTGACACCAGGTCAGTTCCCCCCAGTGTTAGAATGTCTGTTGCAGTCCCACTATAAGTCGCTGATTGCCGCCATTACTAGTAAAAAATAAACAATTACAGTATATATACCGTTTGTAAACATTATAACTTTTACGTCAATCAATCAATTTACACATATTAGGATTTTTTTTAGCAATGCCATGTAGCAGAATATATTTTGGCCTAAATTTATGATGAAATTTTATTTTTTACATTTTTTTACTGGACATGTTAAATAGCAAAAAGTAAAAAATATAGAATTTTTTTTTCAAAATTGTTGGCCTTTTTTTGTTTATAGCACAAAAAATAAAAAACACACAGATGATCAACTACCACCAAAAGAGAGCTCTATTTGTGGGGAAAAAAGAAAGTAAATTGAATTTGGGTGCAGCGTTGCATGACTGCACAACTGTCAGTTAAAGTAACGCAGCGCCATATAGATAAAAAAAGCCCTGGTCAGGAAGGGTGGTAAACAGGGGCGGACTGACAACTCATGGGGCCCCTGGGCAATAGGGGATCATGGGGCCACTGTGTCCTTGCCCAAACTCAAAAAAGCCTATGAAAAAAGGTACCAGGGGCATCTCATGGGGCCCCGGGCCCTCGAGCAGTGCCCGAGTTTCCAAATGGTCAGTCCGCCCCTGGTGGTAAATCCTCTGGAGGGCAACTGGTTAACCTGTTGCTCAACCACCTAGTTTTACCTCCCCCAATCACAAATTAAAACAAGACTAAGGGCAAAGCAACAAATTCTCTTGAAAGGATTTGTCAGCCAGAAGAAGGTGCATCTTGCCCCACCCTACCATATGAACTTTTAGCAACAGGCCCCTAAGCAATTTTTTTTTTTTTTTTGCTTTGAGTAGTATATTTAAATGAGATAAAAAATAAATGAGGATATTATGAATATAAATGAAATTGAGGGTATTAGTAAGTACATCATGTCATTAATAGATGCTTTATGAGCACTTGGTAAAATATTTTTTTAGAGGAGTATTTCATGTGGAATTATTTTGATATTTATTTGGAGGAGATTGATTAGTTGAAATTATCTATTTAAATATTTTTTGGTATGTGTACACTTTTATTAGTTATTTGTATCATAATTTGAATTAATTTAATGGTAATAATTTAATTATTATTTATTGAGAAGTATTTAGGAGCGCAACATATATTTGTAGATAAAAAATATCGTTTCCAGCAGCAATCTAAATCACGATATTTCAGTGTGAATAGCCCTGTTGTAGTCATTAAAAAATCTGGCAGAGCGTTTCAAACATTCATTTGGCAGATAGTGCAGGTTGGTCCAGGCCGGGCGGACATATGGCTCATATATTAACCAATATTTCATGGACCTTTCAGTCTGGGAATCTGGCAACTTGTACAGCTCTCCAGCACAGAGGATACGCTTTACCCAGAGATAATTGTTTATTATAATATGAAAAAAAAGAAGCCCACAGATGTCTGTAATCTGTTATAGCTAAACTCCCGCTCATTATACCAAGGCTTACATTCATTAGATGCAATTACTTGCCATAAAATTGCTGTGTAAAAATGACTTGCTCTATTTTCAATGATCAAACCGTAACAATAAGGGCCCGACCTTTAGAAAGGTCAAAGTTGCTATTTTGCTTTTTTTTTTTTTTAATTATCTTTTTATGGAAATGTCATTTACAATTCATCCCCTACTGAAGCTAATTTCTGTACTTATTTTAAAGCTGAACTCCAGCCTTCCCTTCAGTCTTGCACAGTTGCACAGGTTCTTCTCCTGGATTGAAAATGCTTACTCTGATTTCACTGCACACTGTGAGCTTCTCATAGCGTGCAATAGAAGCTGTAGCAAGTCAGATAAAGCCTGCCTCATTTTCTGGCTGGAAGGCATCCCCAGCCTGATTGTCCCTGGCCTAGGGGCAGACTGACTATTTGGGAACTCGGGCACTGCCCGAGGGCCTGGGGTCAGTAGGGGGCCCCATGAGATGCCGTTGGTACCTTTCATAGACTTTTTTGGGTGTGGTTTGAGTGTGGGTGAGGACACAGGGGCCCCATGATCCCCTATTGCCCGGGGGCCCCATGAGTTGTTAGTCGGCCCCTGCCCTAGCCCGACCCTTTCATTTACCAAATTTCAGTTATGGATGCTCAGCATGGGCATTACCATATCTTTCTGAATCCAGGAAGCCATGTACAGCACCCAGGGCCAGATTTACATCTCAGGAGCCTTTAGGCAGAGAATTGTGAAGCCCCCCTCAAAAAAAAATAAACAACTTTTTTTTTCTTGATAAAATATTTTTATATAAATAATTTTATATGTGTAAAGGGGAACGCTGCGTAACTCTGATGTAATGGGTCTCTGGTCACCAGAGCACCCCCTTATACAAGAGTCCTCAGAATTCCTCTTACATTAGAGTCCTCAGACTTCTCTTTTACATCAGAATCTCCAGGGTTCCCTCTTACAGTGCAAGGGGGACCTCTGTGGACTCTGATGTAAAGGGAAACTCTGATGTAAGGGGGAAACTGCGGACCATGATGTAAAGGGGAACTCTGATGTAAAGTGGTCTCTGGTCAACAAAGCCCCCCACCTTACATCACAATCAGCAGCATTCCCTTTTACATCAAGGTCCACAGTGTTCCCTCTTACATCAGAGTTCCCCTTTACATCAGGGGCCACAGTGTTCCCTCTTACATCAGAGCAGGGGCGGACTGACAACTCATGGGGCCCCCGGGGAAAAAGGGGATCATGGGGCCCCTGTTTCCTTGCCCAAACTCAAAAAAGCCTATGAAAAAGGTACCAGGGGCATCTCATGGGGCCCCCTACTGACCCCGGGCCCTCGGGCAGTGCCTGAGTTTCCAAATGGTCAGTCTGCCCCTGCATCAGAGTTCCCCTTTACATCAGGGTCCGCAGAGGTCTCCTTGCACTGAGGAATGCTAGTGTGAAAGGGGCCTAATTCATAATGGGCAAAAACCAGGGCATTGCATTGGGGCAAGGCACACACACTGTGCTGTGTGTCTCTTTTACTGACTGTACCTTTTCTGAAAATTCTCTGCAGACTTGATGAATGGAGGATGAATGGATGATCAGTGTACGTCTGTGCCTGTGTGTTCACTTCACAATGACATCTCTCTCTCTCCCCCCAGACAGGTGTCTGTAGGCAAATGCCTACAGTGCCTATTGGGAAATTGGGCCCTGACATCCCCCTGCTGGTCCCTCCCAAAAGACATTATTTGCCTGCATTTCATAGAGTATCACAGAGACCCAGTGATGATGTCACTGAGTCTAACTTTAGGTAAGTAATGGAAAGGTTTTGTTTAATACTTTCATTAGCATGTTGATGAAGGGGGGGAAGGAGGAAACAAGAAACCCCAAGGCTGGCCTGCCCCTTAAGTGGTTGTAAACCCTCCAATACACCCAGTGAAGCGACTGGCCTCAGGTGATACATAAAGATGGAACATATACTCCTACATAGGTTGTACCTGTTTATCTCTAGCCTTCTCTTTTTCTACAGCCCTTCAAAGTGCAGAATTTATACAGCTTCTCTGGGCTTTCAGAAATCAGGGGATGGGGAGCTGAAGTTACACTCAGGGTAGAGCTTAGTGAGAGCTGATTGGAGGGAAGGGACACCCCCACCCCCCTTCCCACAGCACACGGAAACAGAGCTGAGGCGGTCATTCACAGGCTGTGTGCTGAAAGTCCATCCCTTGTCACTTTTTTTATATTGTGGCATCAGGAAAACTTGTCAGAAGTAACTCATACAGATAACAGAGGAAGGAAGCACCAAACAAATTATTCTGACTCAGATTGTTGTGATAGCAATTTATCCCTTGTGAGACCTCTATGCCTAGCCTGTATAAGCAGATATAATCACTGTGGACAATCCTTATCAGATAGCTTGAACTCACCAATACTGTGTTCATCCAGAAGTTGCTTTATTCTGTACATGTGAAACAGGATACAGCAGAATGAATGGTTTCCAGTATTATGCGGTCAAAAGATGATACTTTCTGTAGCGTACTATGCAGAATACATGTGTCCCTGTTACACGTGGACTGTTAACTGCATCCATGACACAGGAAGTGCTGAACTCAAGAAGAAGGGAGGAGCTTCATATGCAAAGGAATTGTGTCATAGATCTCACAGAGGTAACATGAAAAACAAGTGCATTACCAAATAAGGCCACTGGTGGCAGCATATAACTAACTATAGAAACATCCATAGGAAATGGTACAAAGAATAAACTATATGGATTCTCATGTACATTAACATAAATATTAACTGTGTAACAGCATACAAATGATGCTTAGTGCTCTGGATTGAGACAGACTATAGCGATACACTATAGGGGGATATGCTTTGTTCATATTTCATGTCTGAGGTTTACAACCACTTTACAGCTGAATTCCCGAAATTAAGCTACTTTGTAAACTCTGCTCTTGTACTATGAGTTAAAGGATAAGTTAACCTTTTGACCGAAAATAATAATGCACATTTTTTTCCAGGTGAAAAAATGCGCATTTATTATTTTTGGTTGCAGGAGCCTAAAAATGAGTGGAACATGTAACATGTTCCTAAAGGTGAACTTATCCTTTAAGTCCAAGGAGGTGCATGCCATATCTCCTATTTACAACTGACATCTCTGCTGAGCACCGGGAATACAGCTATCACTACACTCCTGGCACTCGGACAAGAGATTCACCGTCTGCTCACACACAGCAGGGTCCTTCTGTTTTGTGATAGCACTCTGTGATTGGGCAGGAGGAGGGAAGGGGGGGGGGGCGGGCACAGCAGCTGTATGCGACTCTGAAGCTGCAGCTAGAGAAGCTGAGGTCCAGCGTTGGGGAGCTGGAAGTATAGTGAAAACTGTGCTCCCAGTGCTAAGCAAAAATGTAAACTGTAAATTAAATTGATGAGGTGGCATGCACAGTAATCATAGTAATAAAGCTGGAGTTCAGTTTTAATGTATCCATTGCTATATATGCGTCAACATGGTGGCCCTCATATACTAAAGTTAGGACCTTGCTTTACAGTGAACCTTGACATTATTTTAAAATGCTGTGCACCAAAAAACTCTGTTGTGAATGAAAACTGTTAGACAGCGGTGCAGCACGTTAGACATGAATCACAATATCATAGAAGAATAAAACTATAAAATTCTGGTTCAGGCCCCAGCCAGAACTACTATTGGTGCCATGTCTAGCAGGGCAGGAAAGGTGGCCAAAGAACTACTGGGCATGCCATGGGTCCTCTATCCTGTCCAAAACACCAAATGTACTAACTGCAGGTAAAACACAGGTAGAATTTTCACTCTATATAACATCATCAGCCACTCTGATTTTCAGAGCAGCATTGTAAAAAGGGTATTCTCACAACTATAGTAACCAAAATGACAAGATTAACGCAGTCTCTGGCTATACCACCCCTTATGCAAAAAGTTATTAGGAAGCATCTTAAATGAAAGAACATACCAAAGAAGTGAGCCACTCCCCATACCACTCTTATATGGTGGGTCAACCTGACCTATGAAAAGAAATGAGAGAACCTCTAAAGTTCAATAAGTTGGGTGTTTGGTTAAACTTTAAAAAAAAAGTAGCAAACATACAAAATGTTGAATTACCAAATAGGAAATCCTACTGAAGTCAATGGAAATCTCAACCAAGGTTCAGAAATGTGTTACAGAGCAGCAAATGAAGCAGCAGAAAGGTTTGGGAAGCTCCTGGCAGCCCAGCCTGACAAGATGAAAGGGCCAAATAAACAGCCTGAACCACTTACATTTTAATCCTATACCAGGGATACTAAGACGGAGACTAAGAAGGGTGGGACCCCTGGTGGTACTGGCTCTTAAGTTAAGGGCGCTCAATCAAAAGCAATAGCAGAGATAAGGCTTTCTCCCAGAAGTCCTTTAGAAAACTATTTTAGAAATCTAACCCACCAAACACAAAGCTTAAATTCGGATTCAGATTTGGCCCATCTTTAACTGTAAAATTTAGTCCAAATGTAAGGTCTTCTAAAATCTAGGATTAACTCTACTTCTGAACATTCATCCAGAGTTCTTCGACCTGGGACCTCATGCAATCACCCAAAGCTTAGCATAGGACCCAACAAGCTTGTACATCCTGATGCATAGATCCAACTGCTCAACCTACTTATAGGCAGGTTGCCCACAAGCAGAATTTTGTTTTAAGTCACTTTGTTATTCTGCCCGGGTGGGGAAGGGATTAATGCTTCCGGTCCCCTTTCCTGGACTTTTTAATTCCTGCCTCCCATACCCGGTGTGTTATAAGAAGGGGCAGGTTAGGCCTGTGGAAAGTCCACTCACACTCTGATCTACATCTTCTGCAATGGACTGGGGTCACAAAGACATTGGAACACCAGAAAGCCAGACACCTACCATTCTATGAGGAATGCCACAAATGGACTCACATTTGTGACAGGTATGCCTGGGTAGCTACAGTTAGACAGTTAGAGTTAAATTGTTTGCTTGCATTTATTGTGAACTCTTTAAAGCATCTTCAGGAAAGTTTTTAAATGATTTGAGCATGGCCTGAAGCTATTCAAAGGGGTTCATGGCAGATTTTGGTGTATCAGAAGACCAGGGCCTGTAAAGCACATATGTGGTATGAAGAAAGGAGAATACTAAAGGTTAACTCAGCTAAACTAGTTGCAGGAGGAATGAAGTTGCTATGGATAACCGGTAACTAGTGCAAAGTACTCAGTAGCCATTTATGAAACGTGGTGCCTGCCATGGGAGCAAGGTCCTCTGGTAGCAAGGTGGCCGGTGTGCTGACTCCCTCCCCAGCGGCCAGTTCCCTGAGTTCAGGGCTGAACCCACATTATGGAGACCCGTGGCCTAGCCCTATGGTATGGGAGTGTGTAAGGAGTTAGCAGAGAACATGCAGGTGCTCGGAGGGATCCCAATCTGTCACTGGGAGTTCACAGAAAAGGTGTGTAGTGACACCAGACAGCATGTTTCACAGAGAGGCTCTGTACATTTAACATCTGCACACAGTATAAAGGCTCATCTTTAATTTGGTTTACCGCCATAATGTTGATGTCACATGATCACGGCCCTGCCTGGTCCCAGACATTGACTAGTAGGAAGGATAGGCCCACCCCATGCACCTGAAGACCACCTCTAAAGAGACCATAGCAAAAGCTAATTAGAATTTATCCAGGCTTGCCCAGCAACATGGCTTGTGACTACCATAACAGATTCCAGATTGGATCCTGTTCCAGGCACTGTTGTCAGACTGGCTGAGACTCAGATAAGGGGCATATATAACAGTGGAACCCAGAAGCCCCGCCATACTCCACGTGGTATTGCTGCCTATCTCTACATCATGGCAAATTAATTCTGCTGTGGAAGCACCATCTTATCGACCTGCATCTGGATTGGTGCACTGCCACACTGGACAGCAAGGTTTCCTCTGGGTTGTATGTCTGCAACACTGGAGAAGCTCCTCATCGTTTTCCCCCTGGGCACACTGTCAGGTGTGTGGAAAGCTCTTCTTTCTAAAGCTTGCCTGTACCGAGCAGCCCCATGATCTTGGGCTCGACAGACTACCTATATCTACCACAGAATAAGTTCACTAGGTTGTCGTGGCTGTAGTGTTGTTTCAACATATACGCTACAGCTATACGTTCCTGTATGCCCCAGAGGCCTTGTTCCAACAGCTGGAGGAAGAATAACCCAAGATTTACATTCAAGCCAGGGAGAAGCTGTGAGTGCTAGAAATTTTAAGGGACTTTTGCCACCAAAATGAATTAATTGAAGCGGAATACCACTGAATACATCCGGGTTTAACATCAGCCAGCCTTACCTGGTCCTGGGCATTGATGAGCGCACACACAAGCCAAATCTACCCCACACTTGTACACAGTGGCGTATTTAGGTTTTGTGCTGCCCTAGGCAACACAAAAACCCCCCCCTTCCCTGCAGAGAGAGCCTGACATTGACCAACAACACCTCTGCCCCCCCCAAAGAGGCTTCCACTACCACCTCCCCCATAAACCGGCAAACCACCCCCCCACCTCACCCCGGCACTAGAGAGAAAGACACTCACCTTCGCAGCTCCGGACATCCCTGGGAACGAGAGTCAGGCTCTGCATAAACCTTCAAGCAGCCCGCAGCCTCTCTTGGATCCCACCTGCTCCCCATGCCGTGTGTGTTCCTTCTGCTGTCCCTTCTTCTGGGTGGCGGAGCTGCCCCTCTGAATAATGCCACCCTAGGCAAATGCCTTGTGGTAAATACGCCCCTGCTTGTACGGGCGAAGGTAGGCCTTGCCCAAATACTTTGTGCTGACCAACCAATCTCATTGGCTACTTCACAAAATGATGACTTTTGTCATTCCACCGCACACTGCGGTACAAGCGATCAGTTGCCTAGCAACCCATCTCTGTACCCCGCAGTACCTAGACAGTTTATGGCTTCCTGTTGCCAAAATTTCTCACTACAAAAATTTCTTACAAAAACATCAGCTCATCAGCAAAGTTCCCCTGGAAATTTTTATAGCCATATAGAGCGATTTCATTGGTGCAGTGAGATATAAAACATGATTCATCTCGATAAGGGTTTAACAGCTTACTCTACAAGCGTTCCAAATAAGTATCTCCCGTCTGTCTTTCAGCCAGAAGATTAAGGTATTTCACAGCCTCTCCACTTCAAAGAGTCTTTGTAGTGTTAAGTAAAAACAGCTTGCCATGAAGTACAGTCAGTTTAGTTAAACTTTGTTAAATATTTAATATGAAAGATGTATGACCTCGCTCAGATATCAGTCTGAGCTCCTCTGTATCCATGAAGGAATACATCTGCTAGTTTAATACAAGAAAGCCTTGTCATTGGAGAGAATGCAGATTTTCCCCTTCATATTTGCACAAGGACGAGGAATAAAAAAAAAATAATAGTATTGTGCATATTAAAAGGCAGAGGGAGCACAAGGCTCCTGAATATGTAATGTGGAATATTGCACACAGCAGAGATTACAGGATACATTGATATAACAGGCCTGTACATTGAGGTGAGGAGATCAAATAATATCTAGAACTGTACTGTTTTTTTCCAGAATTATGCCTTATGACCCAACGTATGTGGACAACCCTCCAAATGATTGAGATCACGAATTTACAGTGAAGGGTACAGTTAATTTACAGTGACAGGTACAGGTAATTTGCAGTGAAGGGTACAGTTAATTTGCAGTGAAGGGTACAGTTAATTTGCAGTGAAGGGTATAGTTAATTTGCAGTGAAGGGTACAGTTAATTTTGCAGTGAAGGGTACAGTTAATTTGCAGTGAAGGGTCCAGTGATTTGCAGTGAAGGGTACAGTTAATTTGCAATGAAGGGTACAGTTAATTTCCAGTGAAGGGTACAGTTAATTTCCAGTGAAGGGTACAGTTAATTTCCAGTGAAGGTTACAGTTAATTTGCAGTGAAGGGTACAGTTAATTTGCAGTGAAGGGTATAGTTAATTTGCAGTGAAGGGTACAGTTAATTTGCAGTGAAGGGTAAAGTTAATTTCCAGTGAAGGGTACAGTTAATTTGCAATGAAGGGTACAGTTAATTTCCAGTGAAGGGTAAAGTTAATTTGCAGTGAAGGGTACAGTTAATTTGCAATGAAGGGTACAGTTAATTTCCAGTGAAGGGTAAAGTTACAATGAAGGGTACAGTTAATTTGCAGTGAAGGGTACAGTTAATTTGCAGTGAAGAGTACAGTTAATTTGCAGTGAAGGGTACAGTTAATTTGCAGTGAAGGGTACAGTTAATTTGCAGTGAAGGGTACAGTTAATTTCCAGTGAAGGGTACAGTTTAATTTCCAGTGAAGGGTACAGTTAATTTGCAGTGGAAGGGTACAGTTAATTTCCAGTGAAGGGTACAGTTAATTTCCAGTGAAGGGTACAGTTAATTTGCAGTGGAGGGTACAGTTAATTTCCAGTGAAGGGTACAGTTAAAGTGGTAGTAAACCCACTTTGTTCATTTTTACCTACAGGTAAGCTAATAATAGGTAAAATGAATATCTCCAAAAACATGCACCCTTTAGGAAATATTTGGGGTTTTTTTTTTTTAGCTGGCCCATGCGCGGGAATGATGTCATCACGGCTCAGCCAGTTAGATGGCCGGAACTCGCAAACCCAGAAGGAAGACCGGGTGAAGATGGAAGCCTTTACCTAAGGTTCACACCTAAGAGTTTCTGCAGCGTTTTGCAGAAACACAGCACAGTCCATTTAACATGATTTCCTATGGAACATGTTCAGAGCTGTACATTTTCACCCAGTGCATTTTTTGCAACACGTTGCATTTTTGGTTCTATAGACTTCAATGGAAATGCTGCAGAACAGCATGTATTGAATTTTTGCTGTGTTTATTGTGCATTTTAAATCTGCCTAGCAACAAGAAAATTTTTAAAAAATGAAAAAAAAAAAACCCCACACAAATGCATCAAAAACGTGGCAAAAACATGTAAAAACACAAGTGCAAAAATGCAAAACACATGGTAGAAACGGCTCAAACGCAACCTGCATAGGTGTAACCTAGCCTTACAGCGGTGACAAGAACAAAGGACATCCAATTTTCTGCACTCCAAACAGTCCACTTTATTGAACCAAGATAAAACCAATACAGACAGACAGTGGAAATACAGTGGGGAATGGTATGCAGTGCATACTAGTACATTATGCTATTGCCTTGCAGAGAATTATTTTTTGTTTTGTTTCATTTTAGGTAACTGTAAGCTTCAAAAAAAGCAAAAGCAAAAATGTGGTACAGCCCACCTCTTGAAGCATTTATTAGCCTCAGGTGGTGTCCTGTACCACATTTTTTCTTTTTCTTTTTTTTCAAATTTGTGATTTATTTTGAGAATACCTGCCCAGAACTTTGGGAAAGCATATAACCCATTTTGGCTTGAAGGTCCCAATACCTTCTTATGTATATTGGTCATAAATAGAGGTGTGCCTAACGGGGAAAAATTGCTTCATCTCAGATTCATTTGTTAAGGTAATAATTTTGTTTTCATCATATTTGTTATGTTGAAATGATTTGTTTTCGGAACTAATTTCATATATTCATTTCGTATATTCGTTATTTTCAAATCAATTCAAATTTCCTATTTCAGAAGACGGCTATATTCGTTGTATTTTTTTCTATTCTATACATTTTTTTGTATTCTTTTATTTTCTATTCTATTATTTTTCCACTTTCCTCTATTCTTTTCTATTAAATTCTTTTATTTTCTATTCTGTTTTATTTAATGCTATTCTTTTCTATTCTCTTCCATTTTGTTTTATTCTTTTGTATTCCATTCTATTCTGTTTTATTCTACTGTTTTGTGTTCTATTCATTTCTATAAAGCAGCCTAAATAGGAATCATCTCATTGCACGTTTATACCTTACTGTATTTATTGCATAATGTTTCAATTTCTAATTCAAATTCATTTTCATATTCAAATGATTTGATTCTTTATCATTTATTTTGGATTCATTGAACTTTGTTAATATTGTAATTCAGAAATTTGGATACATCCAAATCTCCAAATATCACAAATTTCAATTAGTAACGGAACGAATCACACATGTATAGTCACAATTCCAGCCAAAAGAACCACTCCAAATCTTGTGGGAATCCTTCCCAAAAAAAGTGGAGACTGTTGTAGTCTCAATGGAAAGGCCAACTTTATATCATAGGTTTTGGAATGGGATGCTCAGCAAGCCAAGATACTGTAGATGTGATGGTCAGGTATCAACAAAGGTTTGGCCATATAGAGTATTTCAACTGGCACAATAACAGTGAATGGAGCTGCAGATTATTATCATCATGTCTAACTGCCATGCAAAACTGCCAGGAAGGACCCAAGTGTTCATCATGGATGAGATATATGTGTCTACCAGACTGGAGATTAAGCCTGGGTTCACACTTTTGTGGTGTGGAATTCACAGCGGTTTCTGTGAGAATTCCGCACCGCATCACAATCGCACCCCGTTCATGCGACCCCCTGCGGGTGTGTATGTTAAGTCAACAGCACCACTAAATAGGTCCACAAAACACGATGCAATGTGCAGAATCGGATCGCATAGGTGTGATCCGATTCTAGTACGGATCAAAAAAAGGGTCCTGCACTTTTTTGGTGCATATGCAGTGCGATTTGAGCCATACAAAATGTATGGCTCAAATCGCACCGCATAGAATTCGTATGTGATTTGCACAGGAATGCGGTGCAGTTCCTGTGTGAATCACATGCGATATGCCGCACTGCACAAATGTGAATCCAGGCTAAAGGCTCCACTCCAGGTTTTGGCACAAGGATAAGAAGCCACAGTACATTTCTGCTTGACGCACCTCAATTGGGAACATTTTATGTTACTGTTCATATACCCTTGAAGATCATGCTTTTCATTTTAATTTGAAGTCTAACAGCTGCCTTTTTGACCCCATACACTGCACATTCAGAAGATGGTAGAAAGGTGTGTGAGATCAGGCATTTGAAAGTCCACAATTGTCAAATTTCACTTGGTCTCTTCAATCAACTGACAGCATTAGTAATATCAGCTCCCAAATGACAGGTTCCTATGAACATTACAGGTGACTGTGATTTATAAAGCCTATATGGACTTCTAGCCGTTGAAGACATCCACCATTCTCATATGTATCTTACACATTAAAATGTTACTAAACCCCGGACCCTGCATTCACTATATCTGGTCTCCCGGACGCTGCATTCACTATATCTGGTCTCCCCAGACCCTGCATTCACTATATCTGGTCTCTCCCCGGACCCTGCATTCACTATATCTGGTCTCCCCAGATCCTGCATTCACTATATCTATATCTGGTCTCCTCGGACCCTGCATTCACTATATCCGGTCTCCCCGGACCCTGCATTCCCTATATCTGGTCTCCAGACCCTGCATTCACTATATCTGGTCTCCTCGGACCCTGCATTCACTATATCCGGTCTCCCCGGACCCTGCATTCACTATATCTGGTCTCCTCGGACCCTGCATTCACTATATCCGGTCTCCCCGGACCCTGCATTCACTATATCCGGTCTCCCCGGACCCTGCATTTACTATATCCAGTTTCCCAGGACCCTGCATTCACGATATCCGGTCTCCACAGGCCCTACATTCACTATATCCGGTCTCCCCGGACCCTGCATTCACTATATCCGGTCTCCCCGGACCCTGCATTCACCATATCCGGTCTCCCCGGACCCTGCATTCACCCTATATTCGGTCTCCCCGGACCTTGCATTCACTATATCTGGTCTCCCCGGACCCTGCATTCACTATATCTGGTCTCCCCGGATCCTGCATTCACTATATCTGGTCTCCCCGGACCCTGCATTCACCATATCCGGTCTCCCCGGACCCTGCATTCACCATATCCGGTCTCCCCGGACCCTGCATTCACTATATTCTCGGTCTCCCCGGACCCTGCATTTACTATATCCGGTTTCCCCGGACCCTGCATTTACTATATCCGGTCTCCCCGGACCCTGGATTCACTATATCCGGTCTCCCCGGACCCTGAATTCACTATATCCGGTCACCCCGGACCCTGCATCCACTCCGGTCTCCCCGGACCCTGCATCCACTATATCCGGTCTCCCTGGACCCTGCATTCATTATATCTGGTCTCCCCGGACCCTGCATTCACTATATCTGGTCTCCCCGGACCCTGCATACATTATATCTGGTCTCCCCGGACTCTGCATTCACTATATCTGGTCTCCCAGGACCCTGCATTCACTATATCTGGTCTCCCCGGACTCTGCATTCACTATATCTAGTCTCCCAGGACCCTGCATTCACTATATCTGGTCTCCCAGGACCCTGCATTCACTATATCTGGTCTCCCACAGTACACACAACATGGAAGTGCAATTATTTTAGTAACTATAAAACTGCTAAATACCTTTTCTCATCAGCAGTATATAGCAGTCTTCTGACTTCTATCAGTGTTCAGCAGAGCACTGGTTAAAGCTTGTAGGAGGAGTTTTCAGTTTGCTCTAGGAGGATGCAGAACCTCTAACCCTCTGTCTGGACAGTTCTGATTGGCCCTGTGCTGATCACATGCACTCTCCCAAGAGAAAAAAAAAAAACATCTCTAGCAATATACACCAAACTGAGCATGTGCAGCGTGACTCCACACGATATGTCTTATCAGATATAAGAGGGGGACACTGGAAGAAGGGGAGTATCATAGAAGTTATGATCAACTGGCGTTTTTACACAATGCAGAGGATGAACTCCTTAGGTTCCACAGTGAGTATAACAAGCATGCTTTTCTGTGTACACAGACTGATTGCACTGTTGTGGGTTTATTAACACTTTAAGGCTAGGTTCACATCTATGCAGGTTTCAATTGATGTGTTTTCCTGGGGCATTTTGCGATACATTTTCAGTTTTTGCAGCGTTTTGTGTCTTTTTTTGCTAATAAAAGAGTATGACAGTTCTGTTCATGTAGTGCAACTTTTATGCGACTTTACATTCTGTGGACCTCAAGCAGCATCAAAGTGGCATCAAAGTAGTGCAGGAACCTTTATGTGACCAAAGTCGAATGTTAGGGTTAGGGTTAGAGTTAGGGTTAGCTGTAATCATTAGGGTTAGCAATGCCCGCTAACCCTAACTCTCATCTAATATTCATCCCTAACTCTAGCCCTTATCCCTAACATTCAACTTTGGTCACATAAAGGTTCCTGCACTACCTTGATGCTACTTGAGTGCTAGAGAGTGTAAAGTTACATCAAAGTTGCACTAAATGAACAGAACAGTCGTACTTTTCTATTAGTGAAAAAAAAAAAAAGCCAACACTTTTTGGTGTGGGTCCATTGATGTGTATTTTACAATAAAATAAAAGGCAATCTGCTGTGGAAAAAAAGTCCCTGACCCTTTCCAAAAAAGGCACCAATGTGAACTAAATCCATAGGAAACCATTTTAATGGAGCCAACGGCTCAAAATGCACAGATGTGAACTAGATCTATAAGAAATCATGTTAAATAGACTGTAGTGCGTTTCTGAAAACAGGAAAATGCACTGAAATCTGCATCAGTGTGAACCTTGGGTAAAATTGGGAACTTGGAGCTTTTTGCAAATAAACATATCACAGCAATGGGGAAATAACAGGAAAAGAGACAGACACTCCTAAATCAGGACAAGCTTCCTCTTACTCATGAGCAGGGGCGGACTGACCATTTGGAAACTCGGCACTGCCTGAGGGCCCCCGGGGTCAGTAGGGGGCCCCATGAGATGCCCCTGGTACCTTTTTCATAGGATTTTTTGAGTTTGGGTAAGGACACAGGGGCTCCATGATCCCCTATTGCCCAGGGGCCCCATGAGTGGTCAGTTGCCCCCCTGCTCATGAGCCCAATGATAGTTACCCTGCATCTTTTCCAATGGCTTAAAACTGAACTGCAGGATAAGCACACTGTATATAAAATATAAGAGGCCCGTGAATCTCGGTGTACTTTGCCTATATCTTCCAGATCTGTGCAGTAATCCAGTCTGAAACTTTATATCTGTGCAGCAGCTTCCTGTAATAAAGACCACTCCCTGCTACTCTCTCTCCTTGTGCAGGGTGACTGGTCTTGTCTCCGCCCCCTCATGTAGTTTTCTGCAGGGAGCCTGTGGTGCTGCTATTATAAAGTAATAGGGGGGTTTGAAAAGGCATTTGGTGTACATAGAATGCATTTATATCCTTTTTGGCTGGTGGGGAATATCTTTAACTACATGTCACCCACCCGCAGCAGCTATTTGTCACCCACCCGCAGTAGTTACCCGCATGTAAGAAAAATATATTTGACATATATTTTAAAAATATTTTTTCCCAAATATATTGACATATATATTTGAAATGCTAGAAATTTTGGCCATATTAAATATATTAAAATATATTCTTCCGATTTTATTAACTTAAAAAAAGTAATTTTAACATATATTTTTACATATATTTGTAAATGCATTCCAAAAATGTATATTTGTATTTTTAAAGACATACAGTATATAGAAATGGATTTTTAAAAACATTTTTCATACATTTTGTAATAAAAATGCATTTCAGCATACAGTATGTATATATATATATATATATATATTTATATTTTTTTTTTTTTTAATTATTATTATTATTTTTTTAAATATATTGCATGTGGCCAACATTTTAGTATTTCAAATATATGTCAATATATTTGGGAAGAATATTTTTAAAATATATTTCAAATATATTTTTCTTCCATATGGGTATATTGTGGACAAGCAGCACAGCCCCACCAAATCACATACCTGTATGTCGGTGGGGCACTTCAGGGTTTGCATGCATGCCCCTGCTGCTGACCAACCACAGCGAGATTTTGTAAGTAGGTCCCGGTCGATGATTTATGACTGAGATCTGCTGACTGGCTTTGTCCAATCACAGCACAGAGTAATGTGCTTCCAAACACACAGGGCTCTATACACTAATCAGCAATCACACTATAAGTTGCTGATCACCGCCATTACAGTATAGCGTCTATAGCCGAGTAAATTCCAGTATATACACACACCATAGTTTGTAGACGCGATAACTTTTGCACAAAGTTATTATTATACACTTACTGTTATCCCAACCAAAGACATGCTGCAGAATACAATTTGGCCTAAATATATGAAGACATTTGATTTATTTTTATTGGATATGTTTTATAACAGAATGTAGAAAATATAGGGTTTTTTTTAAAAATGTTCTTTTTCTGTTTATATCGCAAAAAATAAAAAAAAATGAGAGATGATCAAATACTCTATTTGTGTCAAAAAATGATTTAAAAAAATGTTCATTCGTGTACAGTGTTGCATGGCCGTGCAATTGCCGGTTAAAGTAGCGCAGTGCTGGACAGCACTGGAGATTTTGGTGCTGAAACTCATCTTTAGGCCTCATGCACACTGCAGCTAAAAAATAAATGTTTGACAGAGGTTTGATTTTTTTTTTTCTGACTCTAAACATCCCTCTATGTTAGCCTTTGTGTCCATGCGCTCAGAGGCACTTACAGGTGTTTAGAGGCAGGAGTATTTAGGGGCAGAAATGTGAATGCACCAAAATCGCGTTCAGGAGATGAACATTAGGCCTGATGCGCCTAAATGCGTGTAAACGCATCTAAATATGACTAGACGCTAAATGCGTTTCGAACTTGAGCAATTAATTAAATGGACGGAATAAGTTAATATAAATTAATAAATTAATATTCTGGCCAATGAAATGAAGGAATGCCGAAACGCTTGGGCATGTTTTTAAAGTGTTACTAAATCCACAACAGTAAAATCAGTCCATATATGCAGTAATGCTTGTTATACTCACTGTGGAACCTAAGGGGTTAATCCTCCACATTGTGTAAAAAAGGCTGTTTGATCCTGTTTTCTCTGATCCTCCCCTTCATTTGCTGTCTCATAATCCATCTGCATAGTTAGAGCAGAAGTGGCAAGTCTGCACATGCTTTGTTTGTTATGTATTGCTAGAGGTTTTTTTTTCTCCGGGGAGTATGCATGTGCTTAGCACAGGGTCAATCAGCAGTGTCCAGACAGAGGGTCAGGGGCCATACAGCCTCATAGGACAGTCAGAGGAAAATGGAAACCCCTCCTACAAGATTAATCAGTGCTCGGCCGGACACTGATAGAAGACACAAGACTGCTATATACTGCTGATAAGAGAGGTTATTTAGCAGTTTATATTTACCAAAATCGGGGCTTTTATTTCCTCAGAGAATAGGTGCAGGAATTCCCCTCTTCTGAGTCACTTCTTGTCTCCACCCCCACCTCTAAGTACCATCCCTTGATTCCACCCCCTACCCACCTTCCAGTACCACTCCTTTTAGAGAGTACAGAGCCACATATAATTTTTTGTGGTGCTAAGTAATTTGTTAATAACAAGAAAAGAAGTAAAAACAGATCCCCCACAGCCAGCAGCAACAGACCTCCCAGAACCAATAGATCCACCAGCAACAATGAACCCCCACAACAAAATATCACTCCATCAACAATAAACCCCATCAACAACAATAGATTTCCCAGCAGCCAGCATCAATAGACTGGACAGCAGCAAAGACCCCCCCCCCCCCCTCAACAGTATACCCTTTACAGCAATAATTGACCCACC